GCAAGAGAATACAAACATCTTTACATTGAAGGCCGCGGTAATTTTATTTATGTTCATTAATTTATACTAGTTTATTCTGACCTACGAATCATTATTTAATTATAAACGAGATTGTACAATTATATTAATAAATCAATATATATAACATCACGCGCTATTTACGACTGTGACGTCAGAAGCATATCAGCATCAGCAAGGTAATTAAATCGGAAATTAAAGATACAATATCATGCTAGCCACAGTGAAAGTCACTAACGTCAGCGATGGTGTTCTCGAAGCAGACTGATGTTGTAAACTTTAGTGTGTGGCTATAGTACCTGTTGTTATGATAAAAGACCGGTCAAAATATCCTGACACCCGGGTAACGCGGTCTAATCTCCAGACAGGCCCTGGGTAACGGTCTGATCTCCTGACACTAGGAACAGCCCGCTGTCGCTTCCCGCTAATATTAATACAGGCAGCAGGTGCACACCACGGAGCCCAGAAGATTGCGCGTAAAAACTCGTCTCTCTCAGGCCTGTGTGCTTAGTTTGTATCCGCACGCAGGAGCTAAACAGTCTTTGTATACGGCAAACACTAACGAGAAAACACTGTGTACATAATGTTTTTAACGCGGCGGACGAGCAAGGCAATACCAGATCTCTGACATCCGCAGCTTCTACCCTGTGCTCCTGCGCAACCATCCTGCGACTCTTTATATCGCAATCGCGATATATACTTATGAAATGGACAACAAGGCTTGACGACACCTACGAAACGATATTTTTCAACTGCGTAAGTAATTAAGGTCCGGTGTATGAGAGTATTTTTAAAGCCCATCTTGCTAGCGTGATTAGGATATGGCTATAGATGACGGGATATAGCGTAGGCTCAGGTTTCACGAAGCTCACTCGGCTGTTTGGTAACGCCGCCTGATCTTTCGTGTGGACATAAAAGCTGTTCATATCCCAAAGCGTTACATTTTTATCGTAGAAATCAGGCTGTTTGTAAGCACAGCGTTTTGCGCAGTGTGCGTCCAATAGCACTGTAGATTCTAATGTAGCACTAGTACGATGTAGATTGCGTTTCGATGAGAAGAAGCTATATTGTGGTCAGTTGTTACGTACGTGTTCGTCAAACGTAACGTCACGACATGACACCAGCTGACCGGGGGGTGGGGGGTGGGCTAAGCGGCAGGGGTATGTGAGGCGTGGCGGGAGGGGGGTGCGGGAAACGGGATTGTGTAACTAGGAAGTGCGTGTGACGTGCTGGGGTGGAGAGGCGTGAGCGGATGTCTTGTGTGATGCAGGGAAAGGGACAGGGGGGGGGGGGAGGTGTCAGGTACGGTGCAGTATGACAGATATTCTTGTCATTGATACGCTCCTGATTATATAGCATGTATATATAGTGATGGGCCCCGTTACAGCGCGATCGTTGCGGTAAAAAATTTTATCGCGCATGTTGTCGCGCTAAATCGGTGTTTAAAGAAAATCAGCGTGAAACCGTAACCCGCCCCCCCCCAGCAAAAGTCATGTAAACTCATTCTCTTCCCAAGAACGCATGCGGCATGAATCATACAAAATTCAAAATTCGCGTTAAATTTTTATGTGAAACTTTTGCCGCTTCGGCGTCGGATAAACGTAAAGCTTTGAACTTATATAGGCAAGGACTGTAAAAAGAAAGAAACACGCGCAACTTGTCTTCATAAAATCGTCAGTGTATGCAAGATGCATATTCGCATTGCCCCGCGACGCTACGGGTCAAATGTTTTGAAACGTTTGGCCGGTCCCGGTGGGGGTTGAGGTCTATAACGTAAGCGTTTGAACATTTATAGAGGTTGGTGACAGAAAGAAATATGCCAATTTGGCCTGCCTAATGCGTTATTTTGCGTAACACTCCATACATGCCTCGCCACGGGAATCGCATGCTTTCGCCAATGGGGGTTTACGTATAATCGACATAGTCTATTCAACTTGTCAAAAATTAAGCTGTTTGAAGCATAACAGATCGAGAATTAACGCTTAACGCCTAGTGTGGAGAATTAATTTCATGGAGGAAATGCGGAATTGTGGGTACAAATATACATATATCTATGAATAATATACATAAGGTTACATCTCGTGATTATGTACTACGTGTGCCCGTGTATCTGAAGAGACTGCTGCGAGAAACGCCTGTCCGGGTACCCTGCAGGCTAGGGCGTCGTACCTTCTTTACAACAAGCATGGCGATGTATATTTATCGCGGAAATCTAGTCGTGGTAGCACGGCTCTATTTTCAATATTTTTAAAAACAAAATTTTAATAATTCAGTCCAGCTCTGCGCATCGCGTACCGCTGAGTTTTCGACTTATTCAGGCATTGGTAAAATCTAGAATACTTGCCTAATGTACGAAAGCGCGTAATATAATTGGTTGCATAATGACCAGTATTTGTTAAAATAACGAGTATTTGGAACGAATTTATACACAGACATGTATCTGAGAGACTGCTACGGAGAACACTCTGTTCTGGGGTACCCCGCAGGCTAGGCGTCGTACCTTCTTTACCAGAGCCATGGCGATGGTAACATCTGTTAAAATAACGATGTTTTAGACGAATATATACACGCATCATGTATCTGCTAGACTCGCTGGCAAAAGAATATAGCAATAGATTATATGTATTGTGTTTACGTGCGCCGTCAAGTGTGCGCGTGTGTTGAGCGCGCGTGTGTCCGTGTGTGTGTGTGTGTGTGTGTGTGGTGTGTGGTGTGTGTTGTGTGGTGTGTGGTGTGTGTGTGTGTCTTGTGTTGGTGTGTGTGTATAATATGTGGTACATGTGTGGTGCGCATGCGTGCTTGGTGGCGTGCGATGTATGTATACGTATATATATTACAGTAAATCCAAAGGAGATATAACACACTTTTATAGTCGTTAATTATATAAACTCAGAATAAGTAAATGAAGTTAGTCAGTGAAGCATCTACTGTTGCTATGACGAGCAGGAAACGCAGCATCTAAAACTCATCTAA